CCCCGTCCCTGTGTCCCCTCCAGGACAGCTGCGAGCGCCTGGAGCTGGCTCTGACCCTCTGGGTCTACGAGGGCCGGGACCTGCCGGCGCGGTGCCGCCTGCGCTGCCAGCTGCAGCTGGACGGCGCCGTCTTCGCCCGCACCACGGCCAAGGCGGCGGGCGCCGACGGCCACCTCTTCTGGGGCGAGCTCTTCCAGCTGCCCGCGCTGCCGCCGGCGCGCGCCCTCACCGTCGCCCTGTGCCGCGACGACCGCGCCGGCGGCCGCCCGCTGGCCGCCGTCACCATCCCGCTGGCCGAGCTGGCGGCGGCGCCACAGCCCCTGGAGCGGTGGTACGCCCTGAGCGGAGCCGGCGGCCGGCGCGCGCCGGCCGTGCGGCTGCGCGGGCGCTACCGCCGGGTCAGGGTCCTGCCCATCGTGCGCTACAAGGAGATGGCCGAGTTCATCACCTTCCACTACCGGGAGCTGTGCGGCCGCCTGGAGCCCGCCATCGCCGCGCGGCACAAGGAGGAGCTGGCCGGGGCTCTGGTGCGCGTCCTGCAGAGCACCGGCAAGGCCAAGGTGGGGCGGGGGCGGGGACGGGCGGGGTCGGAGTTGGTTGGGTTGGCATGGATGCATTGGTTTGGGTTGGGTTGGGTTGAGTTGGGTTGGGTTGGGTTGGGTTGAGTTGGGTTGGGTTGGATGAGATGGGTTGGGTTTGGTTGAGTTGGGTTGAGTTGGGTTGGATGAGATGGGTTGGCTTGGGTTGGGTTTGGTTGAGTTGGGTTGAGTTGGGTTGGATGAGATCAGTTGGGTTTGGTTGAGTTGGGTTGAGTTGAGTTGGCTTGGCTTGGATGGAACAAGACTTTAGACATGGCAAACACAACTCAGGAGACACCAGGAGACCCAACGTGGGTTGACTTGGTCATTCTGGGGTCACGGGTGCCACCAAACCCTTGGGGGACACAGGTGCCACCAAACCCTTCGGGGTGCCACCAAAACCTTCAGGGTCATGGGTGCCACCAAATCCTTTGGGGTGCCACCGAGTCCTTTGGAGTCACAGGTGCCACCAAACCCTTGGGGACACGGGTGCCACCACCTGTCCCCTCGTGTCCCCGCAGTCGTTCCTGATCGACCTGGGCGTGGCCGAGCTGGACCGCTTCGATGAGCACGAGGCGCTGATCTTCCGCGAGAACACCTTGGCCACCAAGGCCATCGACGAGTTCATGAAGCTGGTGGGGGCCAAGTACCTGCAGGACACGCTGGGTACGCCCAGGGGACACGGGGACATCCTGGGCGGTGGCAGGGGGTGGGACACCTCGGTGGGGCTGGACACTGGGGCGTGTGGGACACCCTGACCATCCGTGGGGATGTGGTGGTGACATCTCGGTCCCCTCGTGGGCCTGTGGGACACCCCTGACCATCCGTGGGGATGTGGTGGTGACATCTCGGTCCCCTTGTGGGCTGTGGGACACCTCTGACCATCCGTGGGGATGTGGTGGTGACATCTTGGTCCCCTCATGGCCTGTGGGACCATTCATGGGGACGTGGTGTGGGTTCCTCACGTCCATCCCCACCCTGGTGACCTCTCAGTCACCTCATGGACTGTGGGACACCCCTGACCACCCATGGAGACGTGCTGTGGGTTCCTCACGTCCATCCCCACCCCGGTGACCTCTCGGTCCCCTCACGGGCTGTCCCCTGTCCCCAGGGGAGGTGGTGGCCCAGCTCTGCAGCTCCGAGGAGAGCTCCGAGGTGGACCCCAGCAAGTGCTCGGGGCTGGAGCTGTCCGAGCACCAGCAGCACCTGCGGCAGGTCTGCGAGGAGACCCTGCGGCGCATCACCGACGGCTCCGAGTGAGGACACCAGGGGACACCGGGGGACACC